TAATCCCAGTCTTAAAACTGGACAATGTGTCAGTCTTACGGACAGAAACTGGAAGTTGGTTCCACAAGAGAGGAGCCTGATAACTGAAAGATCTTCCTCCCATTCTGCTCTTAAAAACTCTAGGAACCACAAGTAAGCCTGCAGTCTGAAAGTGAAGTGCTCTGTAAGGAAAATATGGAACAATAAGATCTTGAATATAAGATGGAGCTAGGTTGTTGAGAGCTTTGTAGGTTAGAAGTAAGATTTTAAATTCAATTCTGGATTTGACAGAGAGCCAATGGAGAGAAACTAAAACTGGAGAGATCTCTCCTACTAACTTCAGTTAAGACTCTGGCAGCAGCATTGTGGACTTTTTAAAGAAGTATTTGGACACCCATATAATATAAAATACTACGGTACATTAAACAGCAGCCCAAACATGAGTCTATAGTGAGCAGATGGGTATGAATGCAGCAACATAAAGACAAGAGATCAGCAGCATGGATAATCAGCAGCGCAGATAAGTCACATATCACCATTGAAAGTGGCATTACAGTGATTTTTTTCCCCTTACAGTTATCCTGGTTAGGGATTTATGAGTCTAACAGCTTCAGGGTAGAAGCTGTTCCTCAGTCTAGTGGTTCTACACTTAATGCTCCACAAACTCCTGCCTGAGTGGAGCGGGGCTAAAAGTGTGTGTGCTGGGTGAGTGGGGTCCTTGAGTCCTTTAATACTAAGATGATTTCAGTATTAAACTTTGGCATGAAAGGCAGTGGGTGAAACCTTGAATTTTTGGAGCTAGGATTGTGGGTTTTGGCCTTTTTTAAAGTTCTTGTTTAGTTCAAGGTAATGATTGATGTTCACTAAATAAATGGGTGGAGGTGCGCAACAGATGAGGTGATTACTAGGAAGACTGGGAAACCAGCAGACTCACAGGAGATGGGTAATCACAAAAAAATCATGAGGGAACAGGGAGTAGAGCCTGGCAATCAAGCGATAACAGTGCTCTCATTCATCACAAGAGTATTATGCTACTAACAGGTACAGAGCCCAAGAAATCTTATACCGGGTCAGCTTAGCATTGAGAACCCAAAACAACCCCATCCCCCTACATCTGGCTGCAAAGGAAGAGCAAATGAGCTACAAACAGGACAGAAAAACTTTTAACCCACATTAAAAGAAACCCACGTATGTTTGGAATAAAAGACCATATGCTTGTTATTTATACTTTCTCTCCCTTTCCTGTACAAATAACTTTGACATCCTGTGCTAACAGCATTGATAAGAAACATTAGTCAAGGCCTGTATCAGCCGGGCCTTTCCTGTTTGTTCTTGAATGCATTACCACTCTGGAAAACCTTGCTTTGGAGTGTGTTTTCATCCTGTAAAACCACACAGCAGTGAGTTAATCCCAATAAAAGACAACTTTTAAGGATTACTTGTGAAACTCTGTATACATTTGGAGATGAATAAATGAACAGGTTCATGTAACTTTTTTAAGTTCACTCCTCTGGATAATTAAGCTCACGTTTTGCTCTACTCTAAAGCTTTTTATGTGCGAGTGTGCTGAAGAGGTAGATAATGTAAAGCCCCTCATAGATACACAACATAAAAACCGGAGGGGGAGAGTGTTGAAAGGAACAAAATGTAATGACAGGTTTCAACAAAAACCTTAGGGATGTACAGCAGGTTTATTATGTACCTACTGTGGTGTTCAAATGAAACGGTCCTATGGTTTTACACATCGAGACATGCTTGATTCTTGTAAACACAATTCGAGATCAACTGCAACTAGAATATTTGACATTGTTCATTCATAAATGGCCTCACATTTACATCTAGAATACTTAGAAATACAAAGAAGTTCATGGGAGACTTGGTGACTGCAAGGTGCCACGGTCCTGTGGCTGCAAAACAAGCCCAAATCATCACCCCTCCACCGCCGTGCTTCACAGGTTGGATGAGGTGTTTGATCGGATGTAATTTTGTTTATTGTACTTTTTTTTGTTTGTTTTGCTTTGTTTTACCAAATGTGTTCATTTTTGCCATTTTTTGGGAAACATTTTAACTAGTAAAATTTGGATTGTTTGAACAGGAATGCCATCAATTGTGCATTTTACTTATTCATTATTTAGTTCATTCACAACACAGTTTATATTATATAATAAAGCCCCAGAGTACAACAAATATTTAATGTATGCCTAATATGAGAGTCCACATAACAATATAAAAGGTATTTTAAGTGATGCAATACAGTCCCCTAAGATGATAATTTAATGTAAAATATTGTATCTCTTCTTATTTTTTCTTTTAAATAAAAGCTGATAAATACATCATGTAGTATAGGCTTCTCTTGCCAGCCGGCTAATTTTGAAGCAAGAAAGACGGCTGGATCATTCTGTCGTTCCTGATTCTGATTCTGAAAGAGAACGTTAAGTGAGACAGATCAAACTCTTGTTGATGAACCTGCAACCAAGAAAATATATCAGGTATCTGACTCGAGTTAATGTATCGGCTGAAAGTGGCCCGTGGCTCGGACGACGTTTTAAAATTTGGGCTCCTTTTGATAACTGAATTCGACACCCTTCTGCATGCTTCATCCCTGAAAAATGTTTGTGCATCAAACCCAAAAGAACTGGAAACATGAAGCATCAGATTGCTTGACTTAAAGTACCTAGAACTAGTGCGCCATTCATCAGGTACAAATTTTTCCTGTCGACACATTTTCATTGTGTTCCATCATTTTAGTCTATAAATTCGTTGCATCTTGGCTTGATTACTCTGAAAACAGAAACGGTGGAAAAATGGGATTTCTCTTCTAGCCTTGCTCCACTAATAACCCTCCTCATGCTCGAATACGGACATGATTATCCTCATATTCTCCAACAGCTGAGCTCTCTTTCATGATGCAGAGGCTGGAGTGGAAGCAGATGATACAGTTATTACACTAATGTGTGACAGAGACACACACGACGTCTGTGTAGTGCTTTAAAACTGCAGGAAACAGATAAATCATCCGGAACATGTTTGAACAGCTTAAGCATGTTTGACTTTTGAGCTGTGACTTTAACTTTGACCTAAAACTCACTCAGGATCTCCATCAGTTCAGACCCTGAGTGTGTTCTGCAATGATTGGTCCCTCTGTTTTTAACGCCGTGTCATCAGTAATTAAATAAATGGATGAAAGTGACACACATAGGCCTGTCACGATAACTAATTTTGCTGGGTGATTAACTGTCTCAGAAATTACTGCGATAAACGATAATTTTGCTTGAAATTTGATAATAATTATTAACTATTGCCAAATTTAAGAAGAAATGTTTAATTTGTTTTGAGTGTAGTGCCTTTTTTGACCACTGGATGGCAGTTTAAGACTATCTGAACCGAAGGAAGGATAGTGAGGGAGCGAGCAACGTCTCTTTAAGAAAAATGGGAGGGAGGCCCCTTGACGTGACATGGGCTGTTTCTCGTTCCTGTTCTTTGGTTCTCAAAATGGTGGACGCTCGGTGTGGTTTGAGCTCTTTAGCATAGGCAACATTTTTCAGTCAGGTCATCTGGACAGTTTTTTTTTTTTGTGCTGAAACGTTTTGCCTTCCATCCAGAAGGCTTCATCAGTCAAGGAAACACACAACAAAACTGATTTTTCCCCCAACATCTTACTCCAAAGTGGAACAAACCAGTTCTGCTTGTGATAAGATGGTCTCTTTGGTACGCCCCTCCTCCTTTGCCGGCCCTCTTCCTTGTTGACAGTCTTGTCAAACTGGTTGAAAACAACAAGTCCAGATGAACTGACTGAAAAATGTTGGATTTTATACCTGGATTATTGAGCATAGACTTTGTTCTTTAGCATAGCATTTTTCACACAAAGCTTTTATAAAAAATAAAATAAACAAGTTCTCAGCTTCTTTTTGCAGAGAAAAACAACATTTTAGACAAAGGCACAGGTTCCAACCATGAATTTTGGAGCTTTGACAAGACGGAGGTTTATTCCCGAGGTCGGCTTGTTAGCTTAGTTTCTCAGCTTAGCTGCTTTTAACGATCCAAAAATGTGATTTTGGACGGTTAAAACAGATTTTAAAGAGAAAGGAGACAGGGAGGGGTCAGTGAAGAGCACCGGAGTTGAGCCTTTTGTCATCCAGTGTCTTCAGTAGAGAGAGAGAGACATGAAGAAACGATAAAGCCGATAAATGAAAATGAGGTCGATAATTTTCATTTATCATGCGATTAATTGATTTAATGTTTATCACGACAGGCCTAAGCACATTCTTTGAATTACACTTTTAATGAAGAATATGTGTCTCAGTTCCTACCACACCAGGTCATAGCCATTTTTTTGTGATTGCAAAAGTTCACTTAGCCATGGCAGCCATCTTAAACTGGGTTGACTCCAAAAAGTAATCAGTTGTAGATGGACACGTGTTGATACTTTCTGAGAGTTTCATTATAATTCATCCACTGGTTCATGGGATATAACAGGCAGGGCAAAGACATTATTGCCCTTTTGCCTTCAGCAGCAGACGTTATTACTTAAACCTCCCTGGTGCAAAACACAAAAAGGCGACGTAGTTATCAGCTGCTTCTACGTCATCAAATACAGATTAGACATAAAATATGAAAATGGTGCTTTATTTTACAGTTTACAAACCTCTGGAGGAAAGAGCTTTCTCTAAATTTCTATTGCTCCATATATAGTCAGTGTTTTATTTTTCTGGGGGAAAATGAACAAGTGCTATCTCAGAAAACAGCTTTTCCCTGAACAATAGTTTATTGTTTTGTTTTTTTACTTCTTTGGCTCCCTGCCAGTTTAAAGTAAGTGATAATTTGTTCTTCAAAAGGCCGGATGTGGGAGCTGCACTAAAGGTCAGTTCATCAATGCTTTCTAATGAACGCTTCTTTGTTGGGAGTCGTATGGATGTAAACTGCTTGTGCTTTGGATTTCGTTTAAATCAAACTGCTTTCAGACTCTTGCGTCAACATTTACAGGCGAACAGATGCGACTGATTAGAAAATGCCAGAGTTACCTTCTGTGCCTTCCTCCTCTTCATGAGGCTGGTAGTTGTGGAGGGTTAGCGGTTGTCTTTGAGGCCCCTTGCTGTCCTGCTTCCTGATCGGAGCTCTGCTGGTGGGACTGAAATTGACTTGAGGGTATGATCTCCGTTCGTCGTTTGCGAGCTGGTTCCTGTGCTCCACTTGCACTTTCTCTTGCTGGTTGATGAAATGGGAGCGGCTGTGGTTTCTTGCACGTTTACCCGGACTTTGCTTCTGCGGGTCAACGTGCCCGACCTTCAAGTTTCTGTGACTGTTGTGTCTCGTGGTCTTGTTTTCAGTTCCCTGCTGTGGCCTGTGGCTCCGTGTGTCCACTCTCTGTGTGGCTGCAGTTGGTAATAGTGTTGATGCACCGCTAAGAGCCCCTGTAGTGACTGAATCCACGATTTGTTTAACTTTATCCTCAGTGTGTGTCACTGTATAATGGCTTTTCTCCCTCAGCTCGTTCCTCTCGTTTGCATGAGAGCTGGTCTCGGGGTAGGCTAAAGGTACTGTTGTAGAGTGCGGTGATTGGGCCAGATTTTGAGTAGTGGAAGATGTCTGCTCTGCCAGCATGGCGTCATAATCCTCTGAGCCAAAACTGGGTGGATCCTGCTTATACAGGGGAAGAGTGATTTCTGGTGCAAACTTGGACAACGGTTCTGCGAGGGTTCCTTGTCGGGTGTCGTGACTGCTGCTAACGTCTCTCAGACGGCTGCTGTTCTCAGTGGGCTCATTAACGCCACGAAGGTCACAGCCGGGGATGGGTGAGCACATTAACCTGCCCCCTTCGTTTGGACAGTGGCAAACCTGGCACTGGTCCACCTGAAAGGAGTGTCCCGCCTCATACTTCTTGTTGCCATGGGTACAGCCGAGGCGACCACACTGCGGACATCCATCTGCAGGTTGTGAAACATCAACGCAGTTGGCGGGGATTTCTGGGCATGGAATAAAGCGACAACTTATCTTCCCTCCTCCTTGAGGACAGGAGCATTCCGTGCTTCCGAAATCCACAAAGTAAGACTCCCCCTCTGGGACTTTCCCTTTCTGGAAACCTGCTTGGACGCAGTCGTAAAACTGGTAGCCCTCACAGGCGCAGCCGCTTCGAAGACACTTGGGACAGCAGGCACCGTTCTCTAAAGTCGAGTCAATGCAGTTCTGCAGATCTGGACAGGCTACACCTGTGCAGTCTGTCTGACTCAGACAGATGTCCACGCATACAACCAACAGGCAGAAACATACTAGTGGCTGCATTTTGTTTAAAAAAAAAAAAGAAAAGAAAAGTCAATCGACTTGATTGCAGATGGGAAGGAAACCAGCGTCGTAGCCTGTGAAAATAAAGAGCCATTATTTGGTATTCAGCTCGATAAAAATCAGTGTTGTGGTTTTCAAACATTATCAGAATAGTTTTATTTTAATAACCCGGCAGCTTTGATTTGATCACCTGCCAAACGTACATTTTTCCATGCCTGCTGCTTCGACGCCACAGGAGAGGAAGGTCATGGTTTGTTTTGAATTGCGCATGGAAATTTGGCAAACTAGATTGTTCAAGACAGATGTTAAACAACAACTCGACCAAAATGTCTAAACCTTAAAGCAATAAAATTAACAGTGCTGTTAACAATGTAAAAACTAGAGAAACTATGGGATGTATTCTCCTCTGGTTGGTGCTTTGTTTAATCCAACAGTTTCCTAAAGTCACCGGTGGAGAACAAGTTGTTTATTTTTACTGAATTCTCAATGAACTAAATGGAGTGAAAACCTCCGGAGCTTTTTCTTTTGTGTGTGTGTGTGTGTGTGTGTGTGTGTGTGTGTGTGTGTGTGTGTAACGGCAGCACAAAGCTCGATCCTGTAAGTGATGTGACTTCAAGCCTTAGAGCGCATCAAAAACCAGGTGGTTTCTATTTTACTTTTCCTCTTTTCACTTCGCAGGAACCGTGTGTCATTTCCTTCCAAATCTTTGAGTTCATATTTAAACTGTAAGTTGGTTCTGAATGACAAGCTTCTTTTAAGAAAAAAAAACTAGAAACCATTTTTTTGGTTAGTTTTTTTTTTTTTTACAGGGTTTTGATTTTTCTAAGGCTTTTTATTTTTTCAAATCATATTTGTACCAGACGTCCTTGAAATAGACTCTCACCAAAATATCTGCATGCAAAGGAAGCTAGAAAATGATGTTTTTCCTCTGCTGAAACACCTCATTTACCACGATATAAAGTTATGGGACCATGCTGCAGCAGTCCTAATCCATACTTTAAAACTGAAGGAAATTTCTCAGACATTAGCTAAATCATAAATTAAATGTACAGTGGGCCCACGTGTATTGCAGGTCATCGAAATGAACAGAACATCTGGTATTTTGTTCTTCTAAATTTGGCTGCAGAACCACACAAAGTGCACTGCAGCAGCATTCAGGGAATCAATGATGCCTTTGTGTGCTCAGAGTTCAAAATCATTCTAGCAGATCTTGCAAGTCCAAAATTGGCACAAAATGATGCTTTAACTGCTGACCTCAGCTTGAAGGGTGCACAATGTGTTCATAATGTTCATATTAGGTGACAAGGGGAAAAACATCAACGATATAAAAAGGCACCATTAGTGCTGGGAGGATCTATAAAAGTCATTAAAGTTGTGAAAATCTAACAAACTCAACCCCAAAGCACAGAAACTCAGTGCTCCGTTGTCACAGCTGCTCACCAAGAGGCTCTTAACCTTTGGGGGGGTAAAACTTCTAAAATAATTTATGATTACAAACCCAGACTGTGAGTCTCCGTTTTGCACCTGAAGGTTAATCTAAATAAAATGCACATTTTATTGCTCAGATTGTTGCAACACAGAGGAACAACTGGGTTTAACTCCCCCAAACTAGTGTTACCCACGGACAGGCGCACAGCATGCAGGGTTAGTAATAATGATCTGTGCTCACGTGATGACCGCTGGGAAACAAACTGGCGCGTGCATATGTCGCTCTGTGACATGCAGAGGTGTTTACCTACAAAAGTCAAATGCTCACCTGGTTTCTTGCAGCGCTGCTGTGCCTCTGAGTGTGAGGGAAACCTGTGCGTAAAGTTTCTGTCCGGAGTGTCCCGGGAGGCTCCGAGCAGCGCGCCTCTCCTCCTCCTCCTCTTCCTCCTCCTCAGGGCGGGGCAAACTTTTATAGATGCACCTCCAACATTTTTGGAATCTTTTTTGTTGTTGTTGTTGTTGTTGTTTGTTTGCTGTCTGTGCTGCGCAAAGTTCATCTAAAACACAAGAAATGAGGAAATGTAGGTGCGTCAGTGGAAAAACGACTGAAACTCTTTGTCATTAGGTGATTTAACTCAGATATAACAAGGCCAGCTGTGATAAAGAATGTGTCAAACTCAAGGGCCAAGGGCCAGATACAGCTCTTGTTAGTTAATTTGGCACAGGAATTAATATTTTAACTGCGTTAGAACCAATGGTGTAATCTATGTGATACACCCACTAGAAAAGCTTGGGAATGTCCGTATACCCACTTAAAAGTGTCCAATGATTCAAGACCATGTCGTGTATCATTGTCAACCCATTTGGAACACTGACTTGGTTCAACCTGTCTTTTTTGTATAATTAATACTACTTACTATTTAATACTTGAACATGTTTTGCTTTGATAATGTTTTATAATTTCTTATACATATGTTTTTTTAATACAAAGCCAACTGTTGTACAAAGTTTATTCATTTATTCAAATAAAAGCATCAGAGAAATGTTGAAATGATCAATATGCTTAAAAATCAAAATAAATTAATGATTACAGTGTACTAACCAGTCTACTTTGGTTTCTAAGCACAGTATACCCACTACAAAAATGTAGACGACACCACTGGTTAGAACTGCAATCCATTTGTGACTAACTGTCTCCATCACTTGTTTGCTCAACATCTGGACTTGCTCAAGACACTGTCAGGATAATGTGAATTTGTTGCTTTTTAAAATGATTTCCTCGAGCTTGTTTTTAGATGTTTTCCCTTCGTGGTTATGTTCTGTGTTCTGGGGTTCTTGGTTGTTTCAGTTTTGATGCTTGCGTGTTTTTTTACTATCAGTTTATTTCTACAACTTGAATTTGAAGTGTGGAGTTCAGCTGCAAAGGTATTTTTTTATGATTTTGTTTTCTGTCAGATGTTTACTTGTGGTGTCCAACATTTTTCAGTCAGGTCACCTGGACAGTTTTTTCTTTTTTTGTGCTGAAACTGTCCAGATGACCTGACTGAAAAATGCTGGATTGTATACCTGGATTATTGAGCATGGACTTTGTTGTTTTCAACCAGTTTGACACGACTGTCAACAAGGAAGAGGGCCGGCAATAGAGGAGGGGGCGTACCAAAGAGACCATCTTATCACAAGCAGAACTGGTTTGTTTCACTTTGGAGTAAGCTGTTGGGGGAAGAATCAGTTTTGCTGTGTGTTTCCTTGACTGATGAAGCCTTCTGGATCGAAGGCGAAACGTTTCAGCACAAAAAAAAGAAACTGTCCAGATGACCTGACTGAAAAATGTTGGATTGTATCCCTGGATTATTGAGCATGGACTTTGTTGTTTACTGTGGTGTTTCACCTGAACAGTCTGTGTCGTCAGTTTAGTTTGTTCCTCTGCATGTCCCGTTCCTGAGTCTTGTCACACCCACTCTCACCTGTTCCAGATTGTCACTGGTTCAGGTGATCCTCATTCTCTTCATCAGCCCAGGTCTTCCTCTGCATTCCTCCTCCTTGGCAGTCTGGCATTCATGCCTCCAGTTCATGTTAATGTTCAGACAGGTCACTTCCTGCTCTCTCTTATCCAGTGAGTTTCTCTGTTAGAATTTTCTACTGTACTGCAGAGTCAGCATTTTTTTTTTCTTTCTTAGTTGTTTTTTTTATAAAGTATTTTTAAGTTTATCCAAGCTGCTCATCTCAGTCTGTACCATGGGTCCTTCTAGGAAACACGCCAACCTGGACAGACAGTCTTCTTACAGCAGTGCTACAGTTTTATTTATTTGTTACTTTTGATTTGGTGTGGGGACAAAGCTTATACACTGCTGATAAAGAGCAATACAATAAACATTAAGGTTTCTTTAAGAAACTCGCATCACTCGCCTTTCATGACAGTTTTAGATCAAGATCATTTTGTGTTGAGAAAAGACAAAAATGTTGTTTTAGTCAAATCATTAAAAACAACATTATGTTTAAATCATGCATTATTATTGCCAGACTGAGAGTCTGTCAGTGCATGTGCTGTGGATGACTCTTAGCTACTACCACACTGAATTGTGGCTCAATATTTGTAAAACTGAGTTGGAGCTATTTTTTGTTGGTTAATGTTCATTGACTGTGGTAGCCATCTTGAATTTAATTGACTAAACATCCAATGATTATTCCTTAAGTTTATTAAAAATCCAACCAGTGGTTCATGGGACATTTTTTATATAATATATTTATTCATTTTTTTAAGAGTGCTACAAAAAAAAAAATTTTAAAAACAAAAGAACACACTTTTAGACAATTGACAGACTGAGCAAAGCACGTCTGCATGTTATAAACCTGCAAAAAAACAACAACATACAAACAAACAAACAAATGCAAACTCAAACTTATTATACATATTAAAAAGTATATATCCTGGCAAACAATGAGTTTCACAAGGTTACTAAAGTTTGCGGTTCATCGCCTTTGATGTATTTCAGAAAAGAGTCCCATGTCTGGTCAAACTCAGCTCCTCTTTCTTCATTACACAGTCTCAGCCTCTCCAGGTGCAACATGTTAAACATCTCTCCCATCCACAAAGCAAATGTCGGAACAGAATCCAGTTTCCACATACGTAAAATTATTTATTTTGCTCTTACCATCCCAAAGAGAAGAGCTCTTTTCTCATACTTGTTAATTAAAGAAAGAACACCAACAGCTCCCAAGATTGCTACAAGAGGGTTGGGTAAAACACATTTTTGCCAAAAGAATCTGGAAAACATTGAAAAATAGATTTCCAATATGATTGTATTTTATTACAGTACCTAAAGGAGTGTGCCAGATTACCTGTCGTACACTTACAACGATTACATCGATGAGAAACATCAGGATATATGTTATGTAACTTTTCTTGAGAAAAAGAAAGTCTGTGGATCGTTTTAAATTGTATGAGGTTATGTCTGGCATTTACAGAACATTTATGAATATTTATTAATGGTACATTTTGCTAACAAATAGATTTAAATATGAATAATGAGAAGATTTTAAACAAAGATCTTTAGTTCTATTTTGATAACAGACAA